AGAGTGCTAGGATTACAGGCGTGAGCCACCGTGTCCGGCCTGTTTTGCTTTGTTAATAGCTTTTTAAAAATGGAGTCTTCCCACTCCCCCACCCGCCAAGCTATCAACAGCTTGACAGCAGAGAGCCATCATCTCTTTTTGACTTGGTACCCACCCCCCAGCCTGGCTGGCAGTCAGCGTGCTTAGTTGCCATGTGTAGATTGGAGGAAGGCAGCATCCGTGAGAGAGGCCGCGAGGGCACGTCTGCATGGTAGTGCGGGCGGGCGGTGTTGTGAATGGGAGCGCACCCCACCTGGGATAGCCAGGCACTGCAGCATGACTCCCAGTCACTCCAGGCCTGTTAGAGGAAGTGAGAAAAAGAAAGTGATCGTTCTTATTCTCATACAGATGTCCTTGTGATATTCTGGGTGGGGGCAGGGTATGTGTCAGCAAAATCAAGTTTCCTTTGAAAAACATTTGGTTCTTCTTGCATTCATGGGTGTCTGGCCATCCTGCCAGCATATTGTCTTCTCCCCCAGCCCAGCCTTCCAAACAGGGATTCCTTAGCACCCCAACTGCACCCCTCCTATTTTGGCTGGGAATACCCAGCAGTCCAATGCATGGGGGCTTCAATTCCGCAGTGTCTGTCCAGAGTGGAGTCAGAGGCTCTCCTCCTCCTCCTGAGGGCTCCCCTGACTTAGCATTACCACAGCTCACCAGGGATCCCACCACACCGCTTGCCGCCTCCTAACTGAACGGGTTGGAAAGGAGAGAAGGGGAGGTAACCTCGATACACACATACCCCTTAAAGGCCACACAGCTCATGGGGTAGGAGCAGTGTCTGCTGGTGGGAAGAACGCAGGTTTAGAGTCAGAAGGCTTGACTCTGATCCCAGGCCTGCCATCTACCCCGCCTTAAGCTTGGCTAAAAGTCATTTAACCTTTGTGGGCCTCAGTGTCCTCATCTTCAAAGAGGAGAAATGATAACTACTCATAGAGTTGTCAGGACAAGTAAGTAAGATAGGAGGTGAAGGTGCTTTTAAAATTAGCCTTACCTAAATGAAAACATGGGATTTACTCTGGGACAGAGACAAGTGATGCCAGTGACTGCTGTAGTCGGAGAGTGGAAGATGCACAGGGGGCTTGGGAAGCCTCCAAAGAAATCCATCAGAAATCCCCTCGGAGGCCAAGAGTGCACACTTTTATTGTACTGTGGAGCCCTTTCTGACATTGATGTTGGAAACAGGCCAACATTTTCCCCTCACAGGTTTAACAGTATTTTACCTCCTTTTACTCTGATTCATTGTGTGTGTTAGTAGGTTTTATTAAAACCATATTGTGTCTAGATCTCTGTAGGTTCAAGACTTTTTAAGAGTCTGCTGTTCAGTTATGGATGCAGTTTTCTTAAGTCACAGTGGGGAGGGAGAGGGGAAATGTTGCAAAGCAGCCAGACTTCCCCTATTGCTCTGTACTTCCCTCTCTGCCAGGGGCACCCTGAATTTCCAGGGTTTGGTCAGCCACCTTCCCAAGGGAATGACTCTTTGCTCCTCGTGTGTTTCCTTTGAAGGCGGTTAGCACTGCCTCACGGAAAGGAGACTCCTGCTGGAAAACCTCACCGCTGTACCACTGCTCTCTCTCTCTCTGTCTTTGCAGTGTGCCCCCTGCCACCGCAGCCAGAGAATGGTGGCTACATCTGCCACCCCCGGCCCTGCAGAGACCCCCTGACAGCGGGCAGTGTCATCGAATACCTGTGTGCTGAAGGCTACATGTTGAAGGGCGATTACAAATACCTGACGTGTAAGAATGGCGAGTGGAAACCGGCCATGGAGATTAGCTGCCATCTCAATGAGGGTCAGTCTGGCGGATGAGAAGGGAATGCTGCTGGGGTTCTGCTCTCTCTTGACTCCTGGGAAGCGGTGCATGCTTCCTCCGGAGCACCCTTGGCTGCAGCGCAGCATAGCCCCATTTGATGCCCTGCATCCTCCCTTCCTTTGGGATTTCATATCTCTGTGGAAGACATTTGGGGCTGCTGGTGCATGTCCCATTGCATTTCACTGAGCCACTGAGGGGCTCAGTAGCTTTACTGAGGCATCTGCCCTGCTATGTAAAGCCCCTTTGATGTTCAGGATCTCTTGTTTGCCTGGCCAAATGCTGGTAACCTTTGACCGTGTTCTGCTAACACAATGAGCACAATGCTAACACCTTCTCTGGTGTCTCTTTCATTTTATTTTTCCTTGAATGGAAATGGACTGTTTTGTTATGGAGCTTTAGTCCAGCTGCACACAAGACCTCTCACCCCTCCTGCCTCCTCCTGTCTTGCATAACAGGAAAATCCAGCTGCCTGAAGGAAAGTGTGTGTCATATGGCCATCTTTGTGCTTCACACTCAGGCTTCGAGACCAGAACATGTTTAACCTGTGACACGCCAGAGAAGGGTGGGAACCAACATGAGATTTACAAATAAAGCTGTGGGACCTTAGAACAGGGATTTAGTCCACCCCAGTTCTGATAAATTATCCTGTCACATGGGGAAAAACATGAGTGGGACTTAAGATGGTGGACCAAAGTGCCCCTTTAAATGATTGCTGTTTACCAGCCTGCTATTGAGGATAGGCTCGAAGTGGTTTATTAAGGTAAACTCTCGAGGGTTAAGTGAGTATAGATATCAGATGGACCTCAAAGTCTAGGAGTAAAGGGAATTTTTTATTCAGGAAACAGGATAGGGCAATGGTCCCTCTCCAGGAGCACCATGTATATGTAGGTTATTCTACACCGTCACTCCTGAATGACCCTGACCACAGGGGTATCTGTGTATTGCATCACTCAGGGCGTTTGAAAGGATCAGCTGTGGGGCCCATGTTTGGTGTGTCTGGGTACAAACCCTTCTAATGATGGCTTGTTTTTTTAGAGAAAGATACCCACACATCACTTGGGGTCTCCACGCTGTCTATAGTGGCTTCCACTGCCAGCTCCGTAGCATTCATTCTCCTCCTCGTGGTGCTGTTTGTGTTACTGCAGCCAAAGCTGAAGTCTTTCCATCATAGCAGGTGAGCCCAACAGCAGTGCTCCTGTGCGGCCGGCCTCTGACTGGCAGAGGGTTGCTGGTGATCTGCCGGCCTCTGCTGGTCTGTGTGTGCCCAGGGAACGGGGAGGGCCCTGCCATGTGTTAAATTCCTGGATGTGCCTGGCCCTGTGCTTGTGGCTTTGCATACATTATCTTAATTCTCATAAGAACATTGCAGATGAGGAAACTGAGGCTCAGAGAGGTTAAGTAATTCACTTAAGGTCATATTGCTAAATGATAGCAGAGCTGAGATTAGAACTTAAATCTGTTCAACTCTAAAGCCATGTCATTTCCCTTACACTAGTGGTTCTCAAAGTGTGGTTCCAGCAGCATCAGCATCATGGAACTTGTTAGGAATGTGTATTTTCAGGCCCTATCCCAGACCAGCTGAATGAGAAGCTCAGGGGGCTGAGGCCCAGTGAGGGGGTTTAACAGGCCCTCCAGGTGATTCTGATGCATGCTTGCTTGTGAGCCACTGCCCTGTACTCGTGGTTCCCAGTCCTGGCCACACATAGTAGAGGCACCTTGGGGAGTTAAAAACAAATACCAACACCTGGGCCTCCATCCCCCACACAGTGGATCCTTGGCATTCTATTTTCATACAGAGCTTCTCAGGTGGTTCTGATGTGCAGCTAGGCTTGAGAACCACTGCCCTATACTGATGAAAAATAGAGAAAGTGGGTTTTCTTGCCTGCTTTTTCACTTTCCTTTTTCCAATATAGTGCATTAGCCACAAATGATCCTGAAGTGGGGAGGGGTGAATAGGAGGGTCCCCAGTGGTGCTAGCCCCGAGTGGATTCCCAGTGATGGGCTTCTCTCCTGGGCTGTCACGGCTTTTGCAGTTGCCTG